TGTAATCTACACCGAACATCAGCTAGTTTCGGATTATACTCCGATCGCATTCCTGTGGATGCACAAGCAAGAGTGGCTGGTGATTGGACAAAATGATGTGCAAAAAATACCCAGCGAGATACGTCATATCAAAATAGACGGAACTCCACATCGGGAAGTTTGTACAAGAGAATTTATGGACAGTTTGACAAATCGTGACCACCACAAAAAGATCACAAGTTTGTTCTCTTTGGATGAGGGAACATTCACGAAAGGCAATTTGGTGGGTCATGTGTGCAGGAGTGGAGAAGACGACCGATGATAGATAACTTGACATCATTTACCAGACCCCTTCGTAGGTTTGACCGATGGTTTGGACGCGGGAGTCCCGTTGGGCGCGCTCCCACTTTTAGTGGCTGCTGCCATTGCTGCTTTTTTCGCACGGACCTGCATTAGGATAATAAATCGTGAAAACACAACGATGAAGAGAGAACTCGGCTCACCTTGATCATCAAAAGAGATTATATATTTCAGTTTGAAAAAGTCATCCTCCGATGCAGTAGCATCATAAAAACAAGATTAACTATTGCATGAAGGAAAACAGAACACTTTAGTTCTAACAACATAATGATCAAACCGGTTTATCAGCTTTTTTACCTCCGATGAAAATTAACTTGTCATTCATGCGTCCGCCAGATGAGATGGAGCTGCTCAGATAGCAAAATTTGTCTACTTTCTCTACTACTTCTCCGGTCTATAGGCACCAGATGCCAGCTTATCTCCGAACAAGTGTATGCTCGCCAGTCTAGCTGGCGTTCAAAACCTCTTGGTTGGCGGTAGATTGGTGGACTGTCTGTCTCGGTATGCCTACTCCAACGCTATTAGTTAAACAGACTAAAGATACCTTGAAGTGAAACAGCATGAACAAATGCACATGCAACAGATCGAAAAGACAATCTCCAACTGGGTAGTACCTGTTCCGCCAATTCTTTGCATCGGAGCATGCACTCGCGACGGGTTCGAGTGCCCACAATATCCGCGATTCTCTGCCATCGATCACCTTCTTGATTATCTGACGATTGGGCCGGACAGCTGCGGAGTGCTTGCTCCAAGGCACGCTGCTCTGTGACGGTCCAGGGTCGGCTAGCTTCAGCTGAAATTAAAGTTCGAAATTTTTTGAAGGTGCGGACCGAAATCACAAATACCATAAGCTTGGATATGCGAGCGAGTAATCACCAGGTTTCCATTTCGAAGTTTGTTTACTATGGTATAGGACATTTACCAGTATCACTGCAATCTCTGCTGCCTACTGCTCATGTGAAACTGAAACAATAGAAACTCAAATTTGCCATAGTGTCTTCTTGTATCAGTTCAGTTCAGTTAAGTAACAATAACAAATTGTGAATGTGTAATGCCAACTCAATGAAAGAAAACAGTGAGTTTGAGGTACAGATGAGAATGACATCGAACACAATCACAAAGAATTAAAAGAGCGATGACGGTTACTTTTGTTTTCACAGGACACTTTTGGCGTTGTTTCATGGGGTACAGGATTTTATCAGACAGAACGTACAGCATTTGTAGCACTGACTTCTATTTTGAGCCGTATCTCTCTGTATATCTAACCAGCAAAAACGTTCATTCCATGGGGCCCAGCCTGGAAGGCAGGCAGCACCAACCGAAGCTAATGCTTAAACTAACTTTCTCATACCTCTAAACCACGACATAGGCTGACCGCCGAGACACCTCCTAAAGCCTTAACCACTAAGGTAGGTGGATAGGCCTACGCGAAACGCGATCAAGCCACCGGAGGCAGCGCAGTACGATTTCTTCTTTTAGGGGACTACCAGCACACGACGACGAAATTCGTCATGGTTCACCTGGCGTTGCCACCAGACACATGTAACGTTTCAAAGATGTCGGTTTCCAAATACATATAGTCAATAAGCATACTCAGCTCGAAGGGGCTAGATCTCGTAATCTTAAAGCAAAATTCTATGAACCGCGGCGATGTAAGACCTTCCCTTAGGGGAGAGTCGGATATCATGGCGGCGCCACAAAGGTCACAGGTTAGTGAAAGCTGCTCCAACTTTTTCCGTTTATGATGTGATCTCTTCCCTAACATCACCTCCAGCTGATCAGCGCATAAGGTAGGTGCATGCGCAGGCTCCTTTTAGTTTATTACAAGCAATATGCACTTTGACGGTGCAAAGCACATATCATATTTGAATATTTCGATCGCCAAGCGGTTTAAAGTATGTTGGACTGTCAGCGCATTTTCATCCAACAAGATGAACTCATCGGTTTATTTTAAGTCAAAGACTATTCACTGGGATGAGTTCTACTCCATCGCTCGCTAGACCAGAGAAGGTATTCTGTAGAACATCCTCTATGGCAACGTTGAAGAGGAATGGGGATACAAAGCAGCTTTGCCGCACTACACTGGAGAAACCAAAGGGTGGCGACAGTTGGCCACAGGCCGTAACCTGAACCGAAGAATGGCGATACAACTTTTTGAGAATGAACAAGTACTTCTCAGTTACTCCATTTTGTAGAGAGCAATTCTATAAGGCGGTCTTATCTATGAAAGGTAGTGCAAATATCTAAGAACAGAATGATCGTTGGTCTGCATAGCGAAGCTCAGTAACAAACGGAGGGTGATTCGATCGGTGAATCCAATAACGACGTGAAAGCCCGCCTGGTCCTCACGAATCTACTCGTCAAGCGTATTGCATAATCTACGAAGTGTGACGGAAGCCAACGGCTTTGAATCTACTGGAATTGAACTTATGCCCTTGTAGTTGTAGCTAACACTGCACGGGTCCTTTTCAAAGATGGGACGACAATCGATTCCCCCACCACGAAGAGACTTGCTCAAAGTCCCAAACTCAAGAGAAGAGAGCCGCCCATTCTCTAACAAGCTTTTTCCATCTT